AATTGGATTTTTTTTTTAAATTTTTACCTGCCAGTGTAAAATTGGATTTTTTTTTTAAATTTTTACTTACCAGTATAAAATTGGATTTTTCTTTAAAAATTTTTACTTACCAGTATAAAATTGGATTTTTTTTTTAAATTTTTACTTACCAGTATAAAATTGAATTGCTGCAGCAGTTGAATATCGGTTCGTCCGAAGGTGTGGCAAGTTCACCAGAGGGTGAAAGAATAATGAATGTGCAGCGGATGTGCGCGGAATGCTTGGCACAGCACATGAGCGCCGATGCACTGGTGCCAATGACGCTGAAATATGCGTTGACGGAGCTGGATCACATCATGGAGCCAACCCAACAGCGAATGCTCTCCTCCTTCTTCTCGATGATGAACTATGCTGTCCGAGTGCTGATCAGTGAAGTCATCACTCATCCAGATTTCGCTATGGCGGTAATATTTCATGTTGTAATTGGATTGTACTGGTAGGTGCCCGCGCTTTTGAGATTTTGATTGTTTGAAAGCAAAATTTAACGGGATTTTACCTTAAAAATTTGTTATTTATGAAAATTGAAAAAGATTTATAAAATTCGTGGGATCTCGCTTAAAAAATTTGTTATTTATGAAAATCGTAAGAGATTTATGAAATTCGTGTGATCTTGTTAAAAAAATTCGTTATTTATGCAAACGGAAAGAGATTTATGAAATTCGTGGGATCTTACTTGAAAAATTTGTTATTTATGAAAAATGAAAGAGATTTATGAAATTCGTGGGATCTTGCTTTAAAAAATTCGTTATTTATGCAAACGGAAAGAGATTTATGAAATTCGTGGGATCTTTCTTTAAAAATTCGTTATTTATGAAAATTGAAAGAGATTTGTGAAATTCGTGGGATCTTGCTTAAAAAATTCGTTATTTATGAAAATTGAAAGAGATTTATGAAATTCGTGGGGTCTTTCTTAAAAAATTCGTTATTTATGAAAGTCGTAAGAGATTTATGAAATTCGTGGGATCTTGCTTTAAAAATTTGTTATTTATGAAAATTGAAAGAGATTTATGAAGTTCGAAATGAAATTTGAAAAAAAAGGGAGATTTATGAGCAGTCGTTGGGTAATATAAGCCGATTGTTAGCCATCCAGATTGACTCTGGAAACAAAAGTGGCGAAAGTACAATGGAATATAGG